CCAAAGCAGATCTGAGATGAAGCAGGCTCGTGTCCCAGGGTTCTGATACATTTCCAGCAGCCTTTTGGCCTGAGAAAACAATAGGCTTAATTCTCCTTCTCCCAATCATCCTGGCAATTAGCACAGGATCATTTATCCATTAAACAGTTCAGATACAGGTTACCACAACCTTCAAAGAGACATAGAGACAATAATACTATTTCCCTCAAGTGCCTTCCTAAATGTTAATACTCCTTTTTTTGATCTCTGAATCAAAGCTATAGCAATAGACAAGACTTGTTTGCTTTCATCACAGGACCTGAGCAAACATCTCCCCTTCTGCCTCTAACAATGCAGACTTACATTTCAAAGCTCTGTTCATTTACAGATCCTCCTAACCAGTCTCTAAAGTTCGGCCATGGGTAGGTCAGTCTGGGAATTAATTAACTCTTTCTGGCCCTGTCACCTTTCAATGAGTTATTATGTCACTCATAACGTCACACTGCCTTTGCTGCATTATTACTGAGAATTCTACCATTTCCATTTAGTAATGGATCAATGCTATTGTTAGGATTCTCGTTGTTCCTAATATACTTACAAACTCCTTCTATTTCTGGCTCAGCAAGGATGGGGGCGTTGCTAGTTGTTAGAGCAGGAAGGGGAGAGCTGGGAGCTGAAATTCCTGGGTTCCAGCCCAAGCTCTGGGAAGGGGGGGGGGTTCTAGTGGTTAGAGCAGAAGGGCCTGGGAGTCAGGACTCCTGGGTTCTATCCCTGGCTCTGGGAGGAGAGTGGGGACTAGTGGGTTTGAGTGGGGGTGGGGCTGGGAGCCAGGACTCCTGGGTTCTATCCCTGGCTATGGGAGGGGAGGCTCAGAATGGAAATGCTTCCCAGGACCCCTCCAGAGCGCTAACCTGGCCCTGGGGGGGTGGGGTCTGTTTGCTTCTTTCCAGACAGCAACTTCATCCTGGCCAACGCTCAGGTTCACCGCGGCTTCCCTATCGTCTATTGCTCTGACGGCTTCTGCGACCTCACCGGCTTCGCCCGCACCGAGGTCATGCAGAAGAACTGCAGCTGTCGCTTCCTGTACGGGGCCGAGACCAGCGAGTCCGTCCTGCAGTGCATCGAGAAGGTGCTGGATGGGAGGCAGGAGTACCAGACTGAGGTCTGCTTCTACAAGAAGGGCGGTGAGTGGGGCGGTGGGCGCGTGTCTCGCTGCGCTCCCGGGGGCCAGCCCCGGCCCATATACTACATGGGTCCCCCGAGCAGAGGAGCCGGCTCCAGGCCCTTAGCTTAACAGCACGGCTGATCGTGCCCAGGCAGCTGCTCCCAACGCCCCAGGCCTTTCACGTAACCCCGTGGGTTCAGTGTGTGTCCTGTGGCCCTCTCTAGTGGCTGGCTGATGTGGGGATAACAGCCTACTACTGCTACCAGGTCCTAGAGTTACTCCCGTAACTCACTTCTTAGAGCCTCCTGCTTTTGTGGCTGAAGGTGCAGAGTTGGGTCCCTGCTGGTTGAGGGGGTTGTGCGCCAACCCGGTCTCGTAACGGGAGCGGTGCTGACTAGCCCTGCCCGGTGGCGGTGGGGGGCACTGGCCTTGGGGGCGTTTCCTGGCTCAGCTCCTTCCCCTCTTCCCCGCAGGAGCTGCCTTCTGGTGCCTGCTGGACATCGTGCCCATCAAGAACGAGAAGGGGGAGGTGGTTCTCTTCCTCGTCTCCTTCAAGGACATCACGGAGAGCCGGGGCAAGAGCCACCCGGGAGACAGGAGAGATGGTGCGCCCTGGCCGGGGGCAGGAAGCATGTGGGGCTGGATGGAGAATGCCAGGGGGTGGAGTCGGGGCGTGGAGCAGGCTGGGGGGAGGGGACAAGCCAGTGTGGTCCTGGTGGCATCTGCTCGGAGCCAGGCTGGCTCCCCGTGGCCCTGGCTCCCGAAGACCGGGCCCTTTCCTGAGGGACCCGCCAGCCCAGATGCTCCCTGGATAGTCGTCGCTCGCTCAGGTGGTGAGGAGCATGAATGAGAAGGGGGAGGGGGCCTTCCCAGGACGGCCCCCGTGTCCAGATGTGGGGCATGCAGGGGGGCAGCTGGGATGGGGCCCCGTCCCAGCACACCCGGTGCCTGCCCCCTGCCCCAGCTCTGAGCACTACCTGAGCCGCTTTCCACCTGTTTCAGAGAAGCACCGGAGCAAGAAGGCGGGGAGCTCCCACCTGCGGGCGGCGCGCAGGCAGGGCCGGACGGTGCTGCACCAGCTCACGCGTCAGTTCACCGGCAAGGAGCGGGGCGAGATGAAGATCAACAGTGTAAGAACCCGCCCCTTGCGCCCATGGCCTCCGTCCGGCTCCAAACCACCCCGGCCTGTACTCCCGGCGTGACACCGTCCCCTGCCTCTGTGCTGGGCTCCTAGGTCATCCGCGTGACTGCAGTGAGCTAGGTTCTGCTTCCCGCTACCTGTCCACAGTCCGCTTGTGGGTGTCCGGGGGCAGGGGGCAGTGACGGCCCAGGAGCTGCAGGGACCCCCTACCCAAGGAGCCCCTGAGCCCTGCGGGCCAGCTGCTGCCAGGTGGAGGGAGGCGTTTACCCAGCGTTATTCTCCAGTGCTTTGTGCATTAGCCTCTGGGACGGGGAGGTGAGAGAGACACTAGAGACCAGCCCTGTTCCCAGGGCCGTAGCCTCGTCGGGGCTGGATTAGCTGCCCCGGGAGCTGTTAGCCAGGCGTCGTGCAAGTGGACAGCAGCTCTGGCTCTGCCCTTGACTGCCAGAACCATGAAAATTTGCACCTTTCACTGTTTTGGGCAACAGCCGGCAGCACGGGTGGATTATTGTTAATAGCATTAGTGTGAAATGAATTTAGAGGCTGTAATCGGGCGTTCTGCACCTGGCACATCATAACGCTGCTGCCGGGGTCACCTTACAACACCCTGCGCTTCATGTGCTGCTCCGTACGGAGCTGCAGCTCGCAGACGTGCCAGCCCCGGGTCCCCCTGCAGCGTTCGGCAACGGGAGCGCTGACTCCTGCAGGGAGTCCTGGTGGGGCCTCGTTCCTCCTCCGCTCGCTGCTGAGTGAGCAGCCCCAGCCCGACCCCCAGCCCGCCGGCCTTCCTCTGCGGTCAGGCGCGTGCTCGCTTGTCTCGGGCAGGGCTTCCCAGAGGATTCAGGGGGCCTGGGGCAAAGCAATTTCAGGGGCCCCTTCCATTAAAAAAAGTTGCAATACTATAGAATACTATATTCTCATGGGGGCCCCAGTGGGGTCTGGGGCAAATTGCTCCACTTGCCCCCCCCCCGGGTGGCCCTGGTCTCGGGAGGGCTGCTCGGGGGCCAGCACGCTGGTTTGTTATTGTAGGGTTGCTGGGGGAGAGCTGGGGGCCAGCACGCTGGTTTGTTGTTGTAGGGTTGCTGGGGGAGGGCTGGGGGCCAGCACGCTGGTTTGCTTTCCCCACTCTGCCCCATTCCCCACCCGATCCAGCCCGTGCCAGGACCCCCAGGCCTGGCTGCCTCCGGAGAGGGTTCGGGGCAGGGGCTGACTTGAGCAGATGCTGCTCCAAGCCAATGGCCCTACGTGCCTGGGGGGGGAGGATGGAAACACCCTTGTCTCTACGACTGGCAAATCACCTCCTCCGAGCCTGCTTAGGGCAAGCTGCTGATGGCGGGTGTCCCCTCGCGGCCGCGGGACCCTCGCCAAGCCGGGAGCCGCCCGGCAGCCTGGATTCACTGCCGGACTAAGGAGCTTTCGGGGAGTGCAGGTGCTAAGTGGTTAGTGCAGCGGCTGCTGTGGTGCGGATTATCCTGGCCTGATGGGGATGACAGAGAGATTCCCGCCCCCCAGCACTCCCTGCATTACCCCAATCGCCCCGGGTCAGGTCATGCCTGCAGCTGGCTGGCGCTCCTGAGGGGTGGGGAGGTAGTAATGGGCTCAGAATGGGCGAGGAGGTTGGTGGGTGTCAGGGCGTCTGTGTCCCTGCTCGGGGATGCCTGACCTGTTTGTCAGAGCAGCTGTCTGGGGCACAGGCCTGGTGCTATTCGTAGCAATCTCTGCTGCAGGCCCCTCACCCTGGTATTGGGCCTTGTGCATCCTGCTGATAGCCATGGGGGACTGTCCCTCCCCTCGTGACGTGTGCCCCTCTGTGCCTGACCCCCACTGGACGTGAGTCTGCTCCCACCCCCTGCAGCTGCCTCCACAGGTCCTTGGCTGGATCCCAGCTAGTGTCTTCCTTCCCCAGAGCGTCTTTGGGAGCAAGCCGTCTGTTCCCGAGTACAAAGTGGCCTCAGTGCAGAAATCCCGCTTCATCTTGCTGCACTACAGCATCTTCAAGGCCCTGTGGGACTGGCTCATCCTGCTGGCCACCTTCTACGTGGCCGTCACCGTCCCCTACAACGTCTGCTTCACCGGCACCGAGGACAGTCTGGCCGCCGCCCGCAGCACCATCGTCAGCGACATCGCCGTGGAGATGCTCTTCATCCTGGGTAGGGCCGAGGCTGGGCTGGGCGGTGGGGGCCTGGGCCGGGGGGTTCACTCAGCGCGGGACGGTGGGACCCTCTTGGCTGGGGAAGCGGGAGCCTGCTCTCAGCGGGCTGACACCCCTGCGAGTAGCTGAGACGACGTGGGGCCGGCGCTCAGCTCTGTGCCGGGGGCGCGGCTCCGTGGGTGCTCAGAGTGCTCTGGGCTGGGTCTGAGCGCCCGGGGTCCAGGCTGGCGTCTGCCCCGGGGAGCAGGGCCCTGCAGCGCGGGCTGCGGCGGGGGCCAAGGCCGGGCGGCTGTGATCGGGGTTCTGGCGGCAGTGCGGGGCAGTGACCGGGTCGGCCCTTCTCTGCAGACATCGTCCTGAACTTCCGCACCACCTTCGTCAGCCAGTCGGGGCAGGTAGTGTACGACACCCGCTCCATCTGCATCCACTACGTGGCCACCTGGTTCTTCGTGGACCTGATCGCGGCCTTGCCCTTCGACCTCCTGTACGCCTTCAACGTGACCGTGGTGAGTGCCAACCCGGGGCGGGCTGGGGTCTCCCCTGTCCCGTCTCCGCAGGAGCCATCGGGGTGAGGGGAGAGCAGCCCACCCAGCCCAGTTGAACCGGAGAGAGCCGCAAACCGTCCGCAGCGTGAAATCTCCCCCCGGCTGAATCCTCACCCTGCAAAGTAGCTGGACACGCCTGTGAACGTGCAAATGGGCACAGCAAGGCCTCCGTGCTCCGAGAGGTGCACACACACGTGCAAATGCATTCTCCTGCACACCCAGCTTCGTTTGCACCTGCAGAGACGTGTGTAAAATTACAGACACACGTGCTGCCAGGTGAACGCATAGGGTTCTGATAATGCCGAGAGACCAGACAGCGGCTGGGGTGGGCAGGGAGGGCCCGGGCCCGGGCCCCAGCCCGTCCACAGAGGCCCTGGGCAGGAGCAACAGATGCATTAGGAGCACCATATTCACCCCAGGCATCAGCCATCGGGAACCGGGGGTGTCGGCCCGGGCCAGGTGTCACGGAGTATTGGGGGACTCAGGGCCCTG